GACCGGAGAGACCAGTGAAGCCTGAGAGACCGGAGAGACCAGTGAAGACTGAGAGACCGGAGAGACCTGAGAGTCCTGAGGCCATAGAGACAGAGAGAGACCAGAGAGACCGCTTCCTCTGGACAGGAGCTGACCAGTCCTGGCTGCCTGACCCTGGTCCCTCATGACTCTTTGTGACACTGACAGTAAATCATCTGTTCTTGTTGTAAAATATCTTCTCTGCTGTTTGATTCGTGTTTATTTTCTTTTTTGTGTCCAAACATCTGGACGTCCCTCACTTCCTGTCCTGTGAAGAACGTCCTGTATCCCCGACCTGCAGATTGTGTTGATTGTGTGTTTGTGGTTGCAGCACTTCTGGGCGCTGCTGCTGACTCGAGGTCTGGTCGGGGTCGGGGAGGCCAGCTACTCCACCATTGCCCCCACCATCATCGCCGACCTCTATGTCAAAGAGAGGAGGACCAACATGCTGTCCATCTTTTATTTTGCCATCCCTGTCGGCAGGTGGGTGGACCGCCACTCTCCCTGACCATCAATGACCTCACTCTGTCACCTGTTTCTTTCTGACCAGCTGAGAATGTGAATGCATCTGACTTCCTGTCAAACAGGAAGCGCAGGCTCTGATCTCTGTATTTGTACTTCCTGTCAGTGGTCTTGGGTACATCGTGGGCTCTCAGGTCAGCGCCGCAGCACACAACTGGCACTTTGCATTACGGGTGAGTTCTGGCGTGTCGTTGGCAGGTTTTGGTTCTACAGCTCGTTGTCCGGTGTTTGACGCAGCTGACTGTGGCAGTGTTTGTCCTCCACCAGGTGACCCCGGGCCTCGGTCTGGTCGCCGTGCTGCTGCTGCTGTTTGTGGTCCGGGAGCCCAAGAGAGGAGCGGTGGAGGCTCGGTCGGAGCTGCACCAGACCAGCTGGCTCACGGACCTGCGGGAGCTCAGCAGGAAGTAGGTTTCCTCTCACCTGACGCAGGTGGGCGTGGTTTTCGGCTGCTGACCTGTCTGTCTGCCTGCAGCTGCAGCTTCGTGCTGTCCACCTTTGGCTTCACGGCGGTGGCGTTTGTGACGGGCTCCTTGGCTCTGTGGGCGCCGACGTTCCTCTTCAGAGCGGCGGTGTTCGCGGGGACGAAGGCCCCGTGTGTGGACGAGGCTCACTGCTCCTCCTCTGACAGGCGAGCTCACCTCCTCGTCCTGACCCGACTCCCATCAGCGCCACAGGAACTCTAACCTCTGTTTACGTACCACAGCCTGATCTTTGGGGTCATTACCGTGGTGACTGGTTTGCTGGGCGTGACCAGCGGCGTGCAGTTGAGCCGGCTGCTGAGGAAGAAGAACCCTCGAGCCGACCCGCTGGTGTGCGCCATGGGTCTGCTGGTGTCGGCGCCGTTCCTCTTCCTGGCCGTCGCCTTCGCTGAAACCAGCACCATCGCCACCTACGTGAGTCACCGGCCTTCTGAGAGCAGAAGACATTTAATTTGAAAGTTTTATTTTCAGAATAAAGGATCAAACATCAGGTGGTTGGACTGAAAAGTACTGGAGGTCCAGTTTTCTTTGCACGTCAAGGATTCAAGAAGAACGGAGATTACCAACAAAATAATTCAGATTAAAACAGGAAGCTGGACCCGGTTCTGCAGGAGACGGCTCCTGAGACAAATGTCCTCTGTGTCTCCTCAGGTCTTTATTTTCATCGGGGAGACGTTCCTGTCCATGAACTGGGCCATCGTGGCCGACATTCTGCTGGTGAGGACTTGAAACCGCTTTCTGTCTCTTTTGGGGTCTGATTAGGTGGTCTCACTCAGAACCACAGACATGACCCGGACCCCTGACCTAAACTCACGTCCCAGACCCTTAACCTGGACACCTGTCCTAGACCCTTGTCTCAGACCCCTGACCTTGACTCAAGTCCCAGACCCCTGATCCGTACACCTGTCCCAGACCTGCGACTTAGATCCCTGACCTAGACTCCTGTCCCAGACCCATAACCTGAACCTCTGACCTAGACCCCTGTCCCAGACCCCTAACTCGGACCCCTGACCTAGACTCTTGTCCCAAACCCCCTAACCTAGACCCCTGACCCAGACCCCTGATCTAGACTTCTCCTGACCCTTATCTTCTTAGAGCTTAGAACTCCTGGTCTGTCTCTGGTTTCAGTATGTGGTTGTCCCAACCCGGCGCTCCACGGCCGAGGCTCTGCAGATCGTGGTCTCTCACCTGCTGGGGGATGCAGGAAGTCCCTACATGATCGGTGTGGTAGGTCCTTAAACACCAGAACCTTCCAGGAGGGCGTTACATGTGACAGAACCGCTGCTGATCATCAGAACAATTCAGGAGTTGATGTGAAATCAAAAACCTCTGAAATGATGTGATCTGATTGGCTGCAGCGGCTCATGTGACACCGTTCGGTGTTGACATGTCCACAAACGTCTTGTCTTCTGTCCCAGGTCTCGGACAAGATGAGGAGGACCGACTCATTCCTCTGGCAGTTCCGCTCTCTGCAGCTCTCGCTCATGCTCTGCTCCTTCGTGGCCGTGTTGGGCGGAGCCTTCTTCCTCGCCACCGCCATCTTCATAGAAAAAGACCGCAGTCGAGCTGAGAGTCACGTCCCCGCAGGTGAGTTCACCTGTTGTCCTGTCGCTAACCGGGACCAAAAACCAAGTTCAGACAGATCGAAGAAATGATCCGAACCTCGTCAGCTCCTGAGATCTCTAGCACAACTTTTATAATAATCTAAGAGGATTAAAATCATCTGAAATCTGTGACCTTTATTTTGAAACTCTGGGGTGAAATCCCTTCCTTTTTGCTCCGTATGGACTTTAACCCTGAATTATTAAATCCTCCATATTTAACGTTCTGATCAGGACATAACTGATCTATGGGGATGGCCATGGATTAACGAAAGTTCTGCTGACCCAGAACCTGATGGTTGCCATGGTGATTCTCGCCTTTTCTAAGGGGCAGCACTCTTCATCAGACCATACCTGAATACCATTTTATTTAAAAAGCAATTAAAAACAGCAACAAGGCCGACCACAGTGCTGTAAAACAAAATGACGAGCAGAGGGCACAGAATAAAACACATAGATCCACAGGGATAAAGATGATAAACGAGTAAAAGTTTAAATCCACAGTTAGATAATAAACGAGTAAAATGATAAAAACACAGCGTTAAAGATAATTAACGAGTAAAACCTTAAATCCACAAAGTTAAAGATAATAAACAAGTAAAATAATAAAAATGGAGAAAAAGATAATAAATTAATAAAATAATAAAAACACAGAGAAAGATAATAAATGAGTAAAATAATTAAAATGCAGAGGTAAAGATAATAAACGAGTAAAATAATGAAAACACAG